GACCACTTTGAGAAACACTGATATAAACTAATCATTCAAGTGTGCACTACAGCAAGGGTAGGGAACCACAGATCCATACACGGGGCACTACTAATTACATATACTTAAAACTAGGGATGTTAGATAGCAGGTAATAGAATAGTCAACTAACCACACTAATTTTTAGTGGTTGGTTGACTATTCTATAGTCCCCGAGCAGCCCCTGTCCAAGGGGGAGGGGTCTGAGCTCCTGAACCCGGTACAAACCAAAAATGAGATGGGCTGCCTGCCCACCTGGCTCCTAATACACTTTAAATGCAGAGCTGCAGCAGGGGTACATCCAGGATGGAGAAGACATGAAGGGGAGGGGACTGGGCAGCTAACTCTGCAGGGCTCATTAGGCTAGGCAGACCCATTGCAAGCCAGGACTGAGCTGGGCAGCTAGCCAGTCTTCTCAGGCGGGGGGGGGGGGGGGGGGGGGGAGAGAAATGTGCATAGTCTATAGCATTAACCTATAAGCTTTTGCTTATCAGTTAATCAGTTAACTGACCATACTATTACATCTCTACCAGGGGCTGTACCCCAAGTCTCAGGGTAGGGATGTTAAATTTAGAATAACTGTCTAATAGAATAGCTGATGAAATTTGCATCGACTATTCAATTAGTCAATAAGGGCGCCACCGCCTTTGAAGTGTAGCAGCAGCCCCCGGGCTGATGTTACACTTCAAAGGCAAAAAGCACTGAGGGAGCACAGGGCCAGCAGGGGACTGAAGCAGTCCCCCGCTATCCCACTGCACCCCACGGTGTTTCAAAGCAGCAGTGCTGCATGGAGCCGGGTTCAGTGGGGAACTGTGAGTGCCCTGCTGACCCAAGGCTCCACATATCACTGCCATGTTAAAACACCACGTGGAGCCCAGCGTCAGGTTCCATGCAGCCTTTCAAAGTAGCAGCACTGTATGGTGCCCAGAGTCAGCAGCGGACTCCCTGCTGGCCCAAGGCTGCATGCAGTGTTTCAAAGCAGCGGATCCCAGGCTCCACGCAGCACTGCCACTTTGAAATGTCGCGTGCAGCTCAGGTCAGCTGGGGACTTCCCAGCTGACCCGGGTTGCATGCGACATTTCAAAGCGTCAGCACTGCATGGAGCCCAGGGTCTGGCCCTGGGCTCCACGTGGTACTGCTGCTTTGAGGAACCCTCTCTTCTTTCCTCCCCCACTCCTTGCAGCCTCTTTCTGATACAAGCAGCAAGGCAGAGGAGAAGTGGCTAGTTGACTAGTGTGTCGACTGTCCGATAAGCATTTGTTTATCGGATAGTCGACTAGTGGTTCACATCCCTTGTTCAAGGGTCTCCCCACCCCTACTACAGACTTGCTAAGAGTCAACCTAATATAGAGAAATATGCTTGTGGTAAAACAGAACTGAAATCTTAAATTGTTTCACTACATTAATAGTGAATGCAGAATGCAGTGTGGTTACACCAAATTTTTGCTTACAGGGTGAATCTGAAGTAAACTTTCTCCCACAGAACTTTAAAAGTAAGTCTTGGACTATGGGAATTACACTTGCACCTCTTCCGCACAAGATGTATTACAGTATAAAGTTTTTACTAATCCATAGAAAGCAATACTACGGTAGAAAGATAAAATCCTAATGTTTCACTGTTTATCTATTCCTTTTATTATATCAATTATTAAATTAAATGCTGCAGCAACCTTACCTTCCCCAGGAAGCTCGTTTTTGAAGGCTGTTAAGGGGTCCTGCTTCCATGGCATAACTAACTGTGTCACTATACCCTAATGAGGTCTTTTTCAACCTGAAATGAAAGAATGGAGAAAAGTTACTAGAAGAAAATGTCAAGAACTAAAATCAGATATACTCTGCCATAGCTTGAAAATGTTGTGGATCTGTAAAATCAGTTATGGCAATTCTGCAACATCTAGAAGGCCAGACACCATACTTAAAGTCAATCTTTCTAAAGAGCATGTACCTGTTCACTTTTAGCATCTAAGCCATGATTCTGCTCCCCATTAACAGGTCAGGGTCAGGTTTTTAAAGTACAGGCTTCTTACGGCATAGCTACAAGAGTACTTACTGCACAGCAAACTGAGGTGTAAACCTACAGAGCCCAGCGCACCGTGAACTAACTGTCCACATAGACCCAGCTGATGTGAACAAAAAGTTCTCAGTAACGTTGACGGTATGTTAATGCACAGCATACTTTAAAACTTTAGAGCTTTACATCCCCACTTGCAGCAGGTACTCATGCAAACATACCCTTAGTGAAGGCGTGAATCCAAAAGGGGTGACCAACAGCTATAATGGGACTTTGGGATACTGGGAAGAAGTACAGATCTACCACACTTAAAAGTGAACCCTTTGCCTTATTTCTATCTATAAAGCCCATTTATGAAGTATGCAGAAATTAATGATTCATAAATTCAAAAGGCCAGAAGGGACTGTTGTGATCATCTATTCTGACCTCTTGCATACCACAGACCAGAAGACTTCCCTGAAGTTATTTTTCTTTAAACTAAAGTATATTTTTAAAACATACAATCCTGGGGAATCTGAGATCTACCACAACTCTTGATAAATTGTTCTAGTGATTAATTACCCTTACAGTTAAAACATTACAATTTATTTCCATTTTGAATTTATCTAGTTTCAACTTCCAGACAATGGATATTGTTCTACTTTTGTCTGCTACACTGAATTGCCTGTTACCAAATTTTTGTTTTCTATGAAGATATATATTGTCACCTAACCTTCTCTTGATTAACATAAATACATTGAACTTCCAGAGTCTAGCAGTATAAGGCATGTTTTCTAATACTTTATATCATTTTCATTCCTCTTCTCTGAACTTCCAATTTATTAACAGATGAAATTATGACAGGATACAGTCCCCAGAGAGAGGTTTTATTCAAT